CCTCTTAGCTGTTCCGTTCAATTTGCGAGTACAGCGTACCTGGTCGGAATTTTCCCTGATTCTCAAAGAGGGATCAGCGGCGAAACTTTCCGGCGAAACGTCCCGTTAATCGGACAACGCCGCGCGTGGCTTAAGGCCGTTTTCACACGACGTTACACGCAGGTATTTACCCACCGCGGTACGCGCATAATGAACGCTGAATATCACACTTTTTGGACGTAGTTGCTAACTGTAGTTCTCAAAGCGGTAATGTAGCTGCTAAGGGGATACTTAGGAGCTAACTATCGTCTTAGAAAGCAAAGATGATATTACAGTTTTCAAAGTGACACTGCAGTTTCCGAGGCGGTACAGTGGATTTCAGGGCAATACAGTGGTTTCCAAGGCGATAGTTGAGTTGCCAAGACAATGGTGCAGTTTTCAAGGCGATACTGTAGTTTTCAAAGCGATAATGTAGTTTCCAAGGCGATACTGTAGTTTCCAAGGCGATAGTTTAGTGTACGAGACAATACTATAGTTTCCAAAAAGATACTGTACTTTTTAAAACAATAGTGTAGTCTCTAAAGCGATAGTTTAGTTTCCAAGACAATACTATAGTTTTCAAGAAAATGCTATAGTTTTTAAGGCAATAGTGTAGTTTCTAAGGCAATCTAAGCTGATCCTAAGGCAACACTGTAGTTTCCGATACTATAGTTCTCTTAGGAAAGACGATACTACGGTTTTTAAAGTGACAATGTAATTTCCAAGACAATGCTGTAATTTTATAAGTAATAGTATAGTTCCTGAGACAGTAGCTCCCAACACCATAATTTCCAAAATGACTTTAATTCCTCAGTCACTATAACTCCAAGAGCAGCATTTGCTTCTAGGAACTATACTTTCCATCTCTCTCCATCTAATGTAAATACTTTTTCGTATCAGAATACTAGACAAAATATTGGACTAAATTCACATTCACGCAAGAGCGACACACATCACGTACGTGTGAAAACGGCCTAAAGGCTCGACCGGGACCGGAACGGTCGTGATGAGCGCTCGCTCACGTGCGTCGCTAGCGCACAAGGTGTTACAGATATCACGTGGACAGCGTCGATGTGAATTAAGTCCGATTTGCGGCTCTGGTCCAGTTACGGCACAGTTATAGTCGACTCAAGTACTATTCGCTGCTTTTCAAGTGGAGTAAAGGTTGATTTACATTTGCCTTTAGTCACGGCGTAATCACGGGCCGCTCTCGTGTCTTATTGAAATACGACTCGGATTTTTGCTCGCTGTTTCTCGTTAACGGTCCTCTATGTCTGCGGCCTTTGCTGCGCGGAATGCCGACGAGTCAGCTGAAAAAATTGTACCAAAGCATTCCGGTGTTCGCGCCATTGAAAAGTATAAAAACACGCATTCCTGTCATTTATTCTGCGATCCCTACAGTTTGCATTCTAGTTTGCTGTCTAGCTATTGTATTTAACCCTTAACGAAAGTATTTCGAGTTTACTTACAGTCAGAAAATACCGTAACATAAATAATAAGCGGAAACACGTTCACAGACATGACCTAGCACAATACTCAACGCGTTAATTGTAAATATTACAAGAACAACGGTGATAAAAATAATAAAATAATTTCTGCTTCCATAAACGCGGCATTGGATCCAGTAAGGATTAACCCTTTGCACTCGGAAGTATTTCGTTAGGAATACTTACCATTTTCTAACTAGACAAGGAAGATATTTTTTTAAATTAACTCAACAAGAAATCACAAGTAAATTGTGAAACAACCCTATTTTACGCCAATATTTCACACACCAATGCATTATATACAGTTCAATATTAAATATTAAGTTTTATAGTTTCACTGCATCAAATCAAGTGGTGACTGAGAATCACCTCTCGAGTGCAAAGGGTTAATCCCGAGTGATCAACGGCGAGATACAGCTGTGCTACAGTTTCACTTTGACGGAACTGAGGGAAACATTGATCTTTGCGAGCGAAAGGTTAAAATCTTCGCGGTATTCGATGTGTCCGACGAAAGTATTTCCTCTGATGTTCTATGGTTTCCGAAAAACGATGGAAAAATCCGTCGCCCATGAAGATACTCTTCTGAACAGACTGAAAGTGCGTTCGCACCATGTTCTGTAACCAGATCCCCAGCGTAAATCAAGCTTTCAGTGTTCCGAGAACAAAGGGAGCAACCGGGATGCTGGACAACCCTTAAATTCTGGAATGATTTACCGTGTCCCCGTGACATCGTCTTATCAATGGTCGTTTTTAATTGTCCTAGAGTAACTCGAGACCCCGTGACTCGTGGGTGACCGAGTCCTCTGATTTACCGACCCTAAACGTCATTTATCCTTCGTCGTGTTTGACAAGGATTAGACTATGACATGCCGACAGACCGACTGGTTATGTCTCGCCACTGCTTCCCTTTTTTCATGGAATAATGATTTACACGAGCCGGAGTTAGTTTAGTGGCCCCGACTGCTGACTTGCCGTCGCTCGATGGAATAACATGTTTATCACAAACGTTCATAGTATATTATAATAACTATTCGCAATATATAAGAATAATAATTAGCTGAAAATGATTGGTGGCATGATAAATTCAATTGCGTGTATCATTGCTACGAGAGGAATAGAAAATCAAATTCTTTAGTATCAGAGATCTCCATAGCTATATCTTTACCTGACAAATTTGTTTAAACCTCTAAAACAGCTATTGAATCCTAGAGAAACCTGTTTTATTGCGTTTTAAGTAAAAACAAGTATATAATTACGAACAGAATTTTTGTTAGTGACTATAAAAACATGTATATAGCATAAAATCAACAAATATCAACCTGTAAATAGAAATGAGAAATGTATTCAATAGTTTTAATAATTGTATTAAAAGTGATTTATCTCGTAATTTTGTAATTACAATGACGTTGAACTTTCATGTCTGAATCTACGATAATAGCCATGTTATCTAGCAATTTTAGTTCCCAATAACTTCTCGAAATATTAACATTCATTGCGTTTGACACTAATCTTGTGCCTAGAGAGAAACGGTTTCTCCAGAACAGTTACTCGCCACCCAATAAAAACGTATATATAGCGATGATGAGAACACAACGTATCACTGGGACGGGAATAGTAGGACAACAAAATGTTTACGACCAGTGTAAATTACAGTATAACATTTTGGATGGTTACAATTATCCTCAATGTATCCAGGCTTCGCCTCTACCAGCCAAATCCATGCTAAAGAATCCGAGATCGTCGGATTAATTTATTTTTACTTCGACATCGCCGGCCGGCCATCTTGGAATAAGAGTATCCCACGGTAGAATCTAATTTTATCTGAATTTTGCACGGTTAACACTGCTTTTTCTCGCTCGCCTCGCTCGCGCGTTAGCAAAAGGACGGATATTATTTTCTTATGCGGTTCTTTTAACCGGTTTGCATAATTAACCGAAATAATCCGCACGCAATTACCTTTAGTTGCCGATATATTTATGGGACAGATTAATTTCAATTAAACGCTTGAACGTTTTCGGTGAAGCATCCCTGATTTATAGAGCAAGCTTCGCATTTAGAGCGAAGATGCAAATGGATATAGAGTCGAAATATTTTCTTTGTTTACAACGTTCGCCACTGCCTCGCTTCCACCTAAAAAGTAGCAGGCCTCCTTAATTCACTCCGTCGGACTGCCTCCATTTGTCACTTTTCCCACCCCCGCGTTTTCAACCGAAAAACTTTAGTAACTTCAATGGTGTCCAGTGACAAATGTGTCGTTTGTTTTAGTAATCCCGTCTGTTTCACAACGCTTTAAGCGGAGGCGCTTGTTCTATAAAAATAGGATCACCGTGAAGAATTTTGACACTGGCGGGGAATGTCACTCGGTTGTCGCGAGCATTAAATTTGGTTAGAAGCTTTCTCACACACAAAGTTTCAAATGCAGGAGCGCATATTTTCTATTTCTTGAACGAGGATCATGAGACATTGGCTTTTCCCGCGAAAACCAATAGCGTAAAGATGGCGCAGGAGTAAGTACGTGGAAAACAAGATGGCGGACATGGTTGTTACATTGACTATCGTAGTAACTTAAACTGGATAATAATGTAGAATAAATTAAATTACGGAATAATTATCAATTGTCATAAACAACACTTGCGTTTATTGCGAACAAAATAAATAAAATCTTTTAGAACATTTAGGTTAATGTTTGCCGCAAAGGAGATTCTTGGAATACTGGAAATGAATAATATGCTCGCGTAATTTCTATTGAATAGATACGAAGAAAGAACCAAGAGGGATGGCATCGACTTTCTCGTCAATGTAACCGGTATCCGCCACGGTAACCGTGCTCGTAAAATAACGAAATCAAAGACAGGGGATTTACGAGTTCTAAAATCGTTGGAAACTGCGCCCCTACGGTCGTTATAAATGTACGCCTGTATCACGGCCGGTTCGAACTAAATATGGTATCGTGCGGGAGGGTCTGCTACTGGGTGAAATGGTTCTGAGTGCTTTCCAAAGAAAACTAACAATGGAATGGCGATTCATAATGGTCCAATCTCGTAACATTAGATTTTAAATCAAAGGGCTTCCAAAATCCCTGTAACCTTTATTATTTCACAATTAATTATGATGACAACTAACTTTCTATCTTCGACGCATACCGTATCATAACTACAATCACAACCGAACCATGAAGAATCAAAATGTTCAAAACCCAAAAATTCCATTTCGAATAACAAAGATCTATACTTAAAGTAATCACACATTAACCAATTGATATAAAAAATGGACTACCTCTATTAATCAAATATCCAAGGAACACTTCTAAAACCTCATCAAAAAATAGACTACCGAAGATTTGATACCGTTCTACGGTCATCATAAAAAAGGTACTTTTCTCCTTTCGCCTATCATACTAAAATGAAACTTCGCAGATACGAGATAACTAAAACCTCGCAATACTTTCTAGGACACCCGAATCGCAGGAATAGGAAGAACGAATTACGAAGATTTGAAAGGTCCCGCGTAGCAAATGGAAGTGGCCCGGAATGTGTCGAAAGTGAATGTCGTTTCACCGAGAAATCCTGCAGCACGGGTTATTTCCGTCATGGTTGCACCGTCACCCTCGTCCAAACACCTACACCGAAGTCGCGCGACACATTACAGCATAAGGGCTCTCATAAATATCGTCCCATTCCTTTGGCCGCGGTTGTCGACGCCGCGCGGCCGGTCAGGCGCTTTGGGCTTCCTAGGTGAGAGCAGCAACAGTGTGGACGCATTATTAACATCATATTACACTAAAATTACCGAGCAGTTAAATCGAGTTTTTCAAATTCCTCTATAGAAACTCCGAGGGTGCATCTATCGGGACTTTAACGCTAGATTTACGATCGTTTACTCTACATTTTATTCTAATGTTTCTAGGAAAATACGTATTCGTCGATATAAATCGCGGAAATTGTAGCTCCGACAGAGTATTGCAATGCGTATTCGCATAGTTGCGCGAATCAAAACCGACTTAAACTGCTACTGAATGATGTTTAAAAGAAATTCAATATCCGTGAAATTGACGAGTTCCGTAAATCCAGTGTTGGCTGATTTACTATTCAGTTTGCGTATTGCTAAATCAATTTCTTTAATAATTTCTCAGAGAAACATCTGTTGTCTTTCTGATAATCGCAGAAAGAGGAAATCGGGAACGGGACATTTTGATTCGTCTGGTAGTTTTAGTGTTTAGCAAAATCCCCACGAGCGATTTGCAGCAATTGTTTTGGAGTAAAGGAGAAAGAAAGGTTCCTCTGTCTAGCAAAAAAGAGGATAACACGTTAACGACCACGGAGGATTTCTGAACACCCTCGCTATGGATTGCGGTTTTTGCAACTGTTAAATGTTATTCGTATAATTTTTATATATATGAAACTACATATTCTTTTCCAGATAGGCAAGAGTGGAGGGTGGTTCGGAGAAGTTGGTAAGCATGATAACTTTCAAATTTATTATTAGGGTACTTCCGATCAATTGTTAATTGATTTCTGAGAGAATGCAGGAATCTGTAATAATTAATTACTTCTATTTTGAATATCTGAAGAAGAAACATGAATGAGAGAACTGCGAATTTCATTCTTGTAATTTCTTTTAATTTCGTTTCATTCGATTGGCTATTTACAGATGACATGATCAATAACAAGTTATTCCACACGAAAAAGAATGAAAATTCTTCGTTTCGAAAATTTGTCGTGCATACCTACAGTCTGAATTCGATTTAATCAAAAGCAAGGTTTCAAATGGAAAAATATTATTTCATTTTCTATTTACAAAAGCAGCATAAAATTCAATGTATTCTTTGAATCAATTTGAAGAGTATACTTATCGATACCATGAATAATTCAGAATAGATGATTCTCGAAATAAGTTCTAGAACGTATCCAAAGTGTTATCGCTAATATGTGATTCATATTTACACGACAGTCGGATGAATCACTTACAGGTGATGCAAATTTCCTAACACGCGAGAGATAAAGCCGCCCCTTCTGTCCAAGTTTTCGTTCACGATGTGCTGAACGATTAAAGTGAACGCCTCCTGTGCGCTGGGACGAGGCGGAATGAAAGAAATACTCTTTGAACGCGGTGGCCAACTGTAGCCGGCAAGAGGGAGGAGTTCGCGGACTGTTCCGCAGACGATTACGCCTCTGATGTAATTTATTGCGCGGGAAAGCGGCGTGCGGTCGCACCGTAACACGAGAACCAAGGAAAATCTGCGCCAACTTCACCGATGAAATTCATATGCAAACAGCTCGTGCAATATTTGACACGCTTATGAATTTATTGAGAAAACAACATCGCATCGCGGGTTCCCACGCGCTTAATACTAATCAATACATTGCTCTCTCTCTCATTTAATTGTCCTAATATTTCGATACGTTCGAACATATATCGTTAAAACCATCTGAAGCTTACTCCTTTGTTTAACGTTTTTAATAGGTTATCCATAATCCAGGAAAAAAAAATTTGTATTCTTTCAAGGGGTGGCTTCACCCCTTGAAAATGAAATTCGGTACGAAACAAAATCGCAATGTATTAGGCTTGGCTTACTCTACTTATACGCAAAGTTCCCTTGTTACTTAAATCAGATAATTAAACTGCTTTTAATGTCCCAAATCTTTTAAATATTCCAAATATTAACTTTCCTACGACTGTCAACATTTCTTGCACAAAATCTCGTAGATTTTGGATTTGTCTCGTTAAAACTCCTATTTAGAACGAAGATGAAATAAAGATCCCATGAAACTACGAATTCTCAGAGATTACATAATTCCGATTGTAAATTCAATGGAAAATCAAGTTAGAATGGAATGCGAACGCGAATGTTATTCATTTCCTCCTTGTCCATCAGACTTTCCTATTTACACCTAATTGTGAGTGTAGTCTAAAAACGACGGGCACCGGAAGCGCGGCTATATATCATCGGCCCGCAGCACTCAGAACCAGTTGCCCCGGAAGTATTACGTCTCATTTGCTCGGCATGTTCGAGAAGAAAGATAAAAAGGGGGTAAGAAATGAGCCGCGCGCACGGATCGTTCCGCGCTAATTCCCGGATTCGTGGAGACCGACGTCGTCGCGGGAGAGGATCTGTCAGTTATTGCCGCGAACGAGGACTCGTTATTGCCAGGGAAATATATCGGGGATCGTAAAGATCAGTTGGCCGGTGGACCGACGGCGATCTTGAAATATAAATTTATCACGCCGGTGCTGGACGGGTTTCCCGCGTGCCGTTCCACGGCTGTTTCTAACCCGTGTGCAAATCCGCAGGAAGTTGACTGGCGTGGGTGCGGCGGGTGTACGCACGTCGCGGACGCCACCATTGGCAGCGTTCCAGCCCGCGTCTCTAACGGCGGAAAGCTTCTAACGAGGAAACGCTATGCCTGTTTCATTCGACCGGCTTCGAGGATCCCGTGATCCCCGGTGATCGATTTATCGATCGAAAGATTCGGTTTACTCGAAAACTATGGCGATATAGGGGTTACCATGGATCTATACTCACTGCCAATGCTTGCTGTTAGAGGATCACTTGAGGACTAGGCTGAGGAATTCAGCTGATCGAGCAGTTTTCATTTCTTTTCGATGAATCCATTCGATACCATTTCTTTTAGTAACAGTCTTCGCGGTTGCAGTATATTATTAAATAAAATATATTGGCTTTGAAGTACGAATAATAATTAATACGTTACAATATTAGACGAAGACACAAGTATATGTAACGTCTTCTGGGCAAACGTGTTAATCTTCTATTGATTTTATTTTTTAATTTCTGGTATCTGCGATGACTAATTTTACTGTTCGTTTATACGGTTGCACGTAAGTGATTAAAAATATAGGACAGTAAAGTTGGAAGATACCTTTCACCGCCGTGCAGTATATAGGTGTTAACCCCTTGACCTATGATTTATTTAATACAACTGCTTCTTCATTAATAATTTATTGGAGAAAGGGAAATATTTTATGTCTACGTTTGTTCTAAAATATAATAAGCGATAACAGAAGAATAATATTTAATTCGGCTTCAAAAGAATTGAGTAATGTTTTTGCTGGTTAAATTCTATTTAAAATCTTTGCCACGTGTCTGACACGATATTGTAGGGCAAGAGGTTAAACTAAGAATAATCCGTTGAAAACTGTTTTGTAACGATCCTTGTCAAATCAGTTGATCTTATTTTATGTGTAAACATTTATGTAAAGGTTCTCTGAATTGTGATTCTAAACTAATGAGTCTTTTTCAAGTAGATACTTTTATTCTATATGAAGATAGACTAGCATACCTAAAAATTACATAATATTAATTTCTGTGTAATCGTGATATAATACATTGGTGTCGTGCTATCTTATAATTTCTAATACGTTTGCTTGCGAAAAATAAGTTGCTCGCATGGAAAAATTAACTTCTAAATCTCCAAAAAATGTGAAGCTCTAGTTTCTAACGGGAATATTATTCGACAGTCGCTCGCATTCTATGAAACATGTAACTAGAGAGTTGCTTAGTGTTTCGAAGGAGGAGAACAATGCTCCAGGTTGCCGAGAATAGACGAGGAAACACGAGAATATGGTTGAATGGAATCAACACCGGCCCCCGTTGTATCAGCCGCGCGCATACCGGGTTCCTGAGTGCTTTTCAACACAAGGAATTCGTAAATATTTCGCTCGCAAGCTAAAATAAAGCTTCTCGCGGTATGCATCGAGTCTTGTTCGTCTTTCTAGCTGATTCATCGATTGTTTTACTCGAAAACGAGCACTCTTCCTCCGGTAGATTTCCTTGGTTTACTTTAAGATCCCGCGTAAACTCGAATACAGCAATAAAACGTTGAAACACAATAAAAATAACGAATTTCAACAAAATTCAATCTTCTCCGTTGCTCTGGGAAAGATTTGAGCAAAGGAATAATACATTTTTCTTAACTTACTTAAATATATGACAAATCCTGAACAAAATTTCCTTACATTCCTATTTTAGCATTCACCTGCGGTACGATTAAAAACGAACAAAATACTCGATTCGCGCCACTTCTCTTGCTGAGAATATATGCGATAAACTCCAAACGACGATACAGTTGCTAATTTGTTCAGAACGGAATAATCGAAGGCTGTTAAATACGCGTGTAATAAAATGAAGTACGTTGGGAATGTTTCCATTCCTCCTTCTCAGTCGCGAGAGCGCGTCAGAATTTACCGAATAAAATTCCATTCAAATATATTTCCGGCCCTCGGCGCTCGTTAATTCAGAAAGGAAGCAATTAAAACGCGGCGTTTAAGAACGCGAGGAAACACGTCATTAATGAGGCCGTTTCGGCGTTAAGCCGTTTAAAAAGGAGAAAAAAACGGCTCGCGGTGGAAAGGAAACAAAATACCGCTCGCGGCGTAATATACGATAACGAATACAACCATAAATTATGAGAATAAATTTGCTTTCTGTTGCATTTTATCGCTGGAGCACGCGAGACGCGCACGACACACGGGACGTAGGCTTCGCAATAAGAAAACAGATCGCCTCTATCTGGTTTCGCCATATTACGTTCTTAATCCTAAATTAAATCGATCCCGAGGGGCTCTATTTCCATGTTTCTGGAAATTACGGCGCCCTTTGGAACGGAAAGATACGTTTGATCAATACTGCGTTCGAATTGCTGTTCTACTTAATTCTCGGCAGCTTCTATAGCTCGCAAATGCGATGCGGTAGATCCGGCTGCCGAGAATGGCACGCGATTCCGCCATTTTGGGACCGTCACGTTAGTAAGTTATAATTTACAGGTAAGAGGATCGGAGAATCTTTTGCGATTCATATAATTATGTTGTACGATATTTAATATTATACTGTATTGACGATGCGATATGATATATTGTATAAATAATATAATTCTTAATTCGAATAATCTTTGAAATATTCGACGACACATTATTTTTAGAATTATTGTAAATTGTGTTTGGGGATCAAAATAAAAAGGATACGATACAAGCAGCATTGTAAGCGAATTGGAGAAGGAAAGATTTTTTTCCAACTGATAAAAACATACGAAACTGCGGAGCTACGGCAAATTGTATATCAGAATGCAAACAATGTGTTATCTTTATATCTGAGCGTGTTATATATTTACAGAGAGTGTCCTCGTTCTTCTTAGTCAACAGTGTTTGCCGAGCTAAGCATGCTTCAAGATTTGTTATGTAAAAATAAAATTTGTAATTCCAATTCTCTTAAAATTTAACGGTTGAAACAAAACAACCTTAGAGCTCACGTTAAAGTAAACGTGGAAACAATAAGCGAACAAGTAAGACCTTGTAGTTAACATATACTTAAAAACTAAATAATAATAAAATTAAAGGAAATGTCCTTGCCATTACCTAAAAAGTATTAAATAAACATATTTATAACCTCTCGTGTCTGTTGACATTATTCGTTTACAAAAAAACAGAGCCCTATATTAACAACAACGAATAATATTTATCACAAAATATCCTCTCATAGAACACAATGGAACTACTCACAGTTTTAACGACGAAATCAATTCCACGGGCAGCGAATCAACAAATTTCTGTCGTTGTCATTTCGCCGGCAGTTAGGAGGTATCATCGGAGCATTTAAATGGCGTCCGGTGTGCGCGCGGGATAAAGACGGCTCGCGTGGCGCCATCTGAGACCGTTGCTTCCGGTATCGAGCAGCAGTAGAATGGCAGTTGCGCGCAAAAGTCTGTTTATTTACGTGCTGTCGATGATTAATTGATCGCGAGACCCGCGTCCACGAGCGATATCTGCTGAGCGAGTGTCGTAACAGCGAGGTTTCGGCTATGGTGCACGCGTGACCAGATTGTGGACAAAACTGCGGTACCGAAACGGTGGAAATGTGGTGAATGTCGACGCTCGGCGATCTCGCTGGCTGTCGTCATTCTCGTTCTAACCTATTTTCTCCCCGGGACGTTCTGGCCGTTGTTCTGAAATTTTCCGACGCGCTGTCAACGTTTGTTTGCCAACGGTCACTCAGCACCGGAACGTGCAAAACCGTGAGCATGGCCGACGAGGTGCTGCCGGCGAGTTTGGAGAAGCTCGAGATTGATCGTCCCTCGACGAGCTGTCCCCAGTAAGCAACGCACACTGTCCAAAACACACGCACACCATCTCTACGCGTTTTTCCCGGCGCCGTTCGTTCGAAGGCGCCTGCTCATCACCGATCGTGAACCTGTGTTTACGATGACCCTCTGAACCCTTCCTACGGGGTATCCCACGAGACGTGCTCGATGTATCGGATCGCGACGGTTCTGCGACTCAACCCCTTTTTCGCGCGCGGTCAAGGTCTCCGATGAAACGTTACCTCATTTCTCTTAAATACGCGAACTGTCAACTGTCTCTCTCTTTCTTTCTCTGCCTCCCTCTCCCCCTGGCTCGTCTGTTTACATCGCGGTGTGCCTTCGATTTTATTAAACGTCGCGGCCGCTTGCCCAGGCATGCACTTCAACCAGCGTCGTTTCTCGACGTCGACGCTGCGAATCGACTTCACGGTGCACCATGACCTGTAAGAGGATCGAAATATTTATACGACACTGGCGAGATTCGATAAAAATCGGTGGGACGCGACCGGGAATCCTGAGCAGTCTCGAACGATCTCGAACGATCAGAACCGTAGAGGTTGCACGATGAGAAAAAGCTTCGGATGTTAGATATTGCCGGAAAGTGTGACGTGAAAGTGTATTTCATTTTCGACGCTCGTTTAATCGATTCAACGTAATAGCCGCTTCGGGGACAGTTTGAACGCGAGTTTCCTTGGTTCCGTGTTATTGCATAAGCGGCGAACGAGCCGATATTTACCAATATTCGACTCAAGGCTGTGTGTCAGGAGTGATGAATCATCAATGGATAATACTGAGCATTTCTGTTATCACGGTTCCGTTGATACTTATAAATACATTCTTTCATTAACATTAACCGTGATACGTAAACAGTGATAATTATTTACATTTACACGAATTGTTGTGCATTTATTGGTGATAGTAATTGTGAATGTATGTTTCTGTTGTTTCAGTATTGCAACCACTGACAAAGCTGAGTCACCGAACCCCTTTAGAAGTATAAGTAAAAGTGACGGATCCAATTGCAGTTACTTATTTCAAAGGAGATCGATGCCTAGTAGGCCAACTTTAACCACAACCAGCCCGAGAGGCGTGAAAAGCACAACGAACTTCAAACCATCAAAGAATGAAAGAGTAATCGATAAGAAGAAGAATTCGATAATCAAAGAGGCTGTCTTAAAATTAAATGATACTGGCACTACTTGTCTTAGTGATAACCTAGCGAGTACACTGTTAAAAGAAACTTGTAAATTTAGTATTTCTTGGAAAAATAAGAAGGTATTCTACCACGGTTCTGTAGCGAAAGACTTTAAAACGCTGAACATTAGTCAGGAGAATAGGCAGGCTAAAGATGACACTAGCATTCAAGGCAATTACCAAGGAAATAGCTTTCAACGAGCCCGTAGCAATACGATGCCAAGTTTGAAAAGGGGGCCAGGTCCAGGTGGAGGCAGTAGCACGCAGTCAGAGACAAGTAGTTCGTCTGGTCAGCCTTCGAGTTCAAACACATGTTCGGTACAAGCACGAATATCTCCGCCTTCGTGTGATGTCACCATCGATGAACTTGCTAGTTACTTCGAGGAGTTTGTTCATATCCCAAAGAAGATGTCGCACATGGCAGAAATGATGTATATTTAATTGTAACGTAACGAGTTACTGGCAGATTTCTTATACAGTTTTTCAAGGACTAGCGTGCAGCGTTTCTGCACGAGAACGAGTCTAAATGCTATATGTTTGCTACAAAAACCAATTCAATTTGGTAC